TTCAGGGTTTTTGAAGTTTGTTCTGCGTTTTATAGAGGTTTGGGAAAAATAATATAATTTTAAACACCATAATATTGGGTAGATTTGGTCGATTTCTTTCTTTTCCTTTGAAAAAACGATGTGTTCTCAGCTTACGTGATGCTTTGAGCGCATTCTTCGACCGATATGGCCCATTTTCAATACCAACCTGCGTGCGAGGACTTCCAATGCTTCTGCCAAATTTGAAGTCGAAATTGTCTATAGATAGTTACTGTTCCATTTTGTATTTTGTATGTACGTCATTAGTTATTATTACTTCAATCAACAGAAACCATATTGAGTTCTCTATTTCATTCAAAATATACCATCTATCTCAATGATGATCATATAACTCACTTAACATTGTATTCGGAAACGATCTTCTAATTATATATTTAGTCGTTTCTCTGCTTGTCGCAAAGTACGTCATCATCGCTGTAAAAATTTAAATAAAGAAATAATAACAAACAAAAGTTAGTTATTAAAGCTGAGGCAACTTTACTCACAAATATTAACTATGAAACTACACATACGAGTATTCACTCGTTTTAAAATTTTAAACGATCACTGCAAGGATTGGTTTAGATTAACTTATAATCCTATTTGCCATGTATGGAAACATAACTTTCAGTACTTAATACGACTTACATTGTTTCGGTAGCATTTTCCGTGTAAAATGAATAAAGGAATATAAAAATAAAATTACAAGTAGTAGCAAAATATGCGACTTTCTTTCTTGTTCAAGTTTAAGTAAGAGTATGACAAGATTTTAGAAGACAAAAGCATGCACGTAAATAAATAAAATGGAATAAGATGAACACAAAAGGAAAATTCCATAGCAACATTACCTTACTATGAGAGTCGACAGCCATAACAACCACAACAACAACACGGAAAACAACTAGCCAAGCAACTAAAATAAGGGAATTTAAAGTAAATGACGATGGAGGTCGTGTAACATGCATACTAACATGTGTAAAATCATTAGGGAAACTTAAGTATACCACACAACAACCATAACAATAACCATAGCAACAACAACAATAATAAAAACAAAGTAACGTACAGAAACTTCTATTTCATTTTACCTTATTGTTGTTGCCGTCGTTTGTTTTTCTTCTTCTTTAAACATATACGTGCATGTTTATATGTGCGTTGTTTCGACGTTGTACCAAAATTATAAGTATATACATATGAACACCTTGCATCCATGCAGTAGCATAAAAGCTTTATGCAAAAATGTTGTCACACTTTGAAAAATGTTTTTACAACGAATTGCTATGTTTTACTTTTTCCGACATCTTTTTTTTTGTTAATACCTGACACAGTTGTGTTCACTCCATGCACGTGCAATTATCTGTCTTTCTTGATACATTCACGCAGCCAACGTTTGCTTAAAATAGTTGAAACACGCTTTTCAACGCTGGGTAACCACTGCAATAAGGCTTTAGAAATTGTAAATCCACAACTTATATGTAGAATGTACACATGTATATTTATATATATATTACGTATTACATATATATTACATATATATATATATATATATGTAATATATTATTATTATTATTAGCACAGAATAAATCCTAAGACTGAAGTCTTAAAGCACTAGCATTCAAGGCTATCGGCTTTATTAAAAACTCTGCCGCACTTGAGATTTACACCCATGAACCATTGAGTTGTTAGTCGACACTGTTTGGCTACTCGGCCATTTAGGTGGATATATGTGTGTTTTATTTGTGAGTGAAACTACGCGTTTAGATGTTCACTTTCTTCAAAAGTAACAAATACTTTGTTATCAGCTAAATCGGATTCCAAAACCAATTGATAATTCTAATATTTTAACATGCGCTTGATATTAATACCATAGATTAGTAAGTAAGTTAGTAAGACAATACATACATTGCATATATTGCAAAAAAATAAACCAAACCAAAACAACAACAGAGAAATAAGGGCTTTAACGAAATGCTTCAATACACCTTCAATGTCTGCTTTCAGTAATAACTTGCAGAAAATGCTGTCAAAACATTAAATTTTGAATTACACATAATTTTCATATACCAATGCTTCACTTGCCAATTAAAAATTCATTTTATCCCGAAAGATCCACTCCTTTCGATACACGCCTTATTATTTATCACCTTGAGCAACCCAAGTATGTGTTTATCTGTCTAGGCTTGTTGTTCGGTGGATGCAACGTAAAACAAAACCGAAATTTTTTCTACGGCTCAGTGATTGGAAATGAGAAACTCCTTAACTAAATTGAAATAATTATATTACGTTTGCGGTTAGCTCACATATATATCGTGTACTTGAGCTCAAGGTAAATTATAAATACCTTTGTATAGGATAAAATATGCAAATATGGCAAACTTTGCAATTGTATTTTTATACCATCATTGAAGGACCTGGGGTATATTCATTTTGTAAAAACGTTTGCAGCGCTCAAAAGGAAGCATCAGAAACCTCACAAAATATACATATTATTGAGCAGCACTAAATTCTAAAGCGATTTAAACATGTCCGTCTGTTCATCTGTCCGTCTGTGTAAAGTCTGTTGTAAACATTCTCCTGGACACTATCGACTTCAAATTTGGCAGAAGCATTCGAAGCCCTCGCACGCAGGTTGGTATTGAAAATGGGCCAAATCGGTCGAAGAATGCGCCAACAGCATCACGTAAGCTGGGAACACATTGTTTTTTCAAAGGGAATGAAATATTGATTTTTTGCTCAATATTCGTGAACTATAGCAAATAAGTTTACAAAAATTTAAACCCACATTCTCTGCGTGATGCTGTAGCATTTGTGCACAGAAATGGAAAAAACCGACTACGCCCACCCAATATTATAGTGTATCACTATTTTAATTGTTTTTCCCGATACCTTTATAACACGCAGAAACAAGCTTCAAAACCCCTTAAAATATAGTGAGTTTCGGCCGGTTTCAAATTCGGAATGCACCCAAGCATGTCCACCTGTCCGTCTGTCTACCTGTCTGGTCGGGCAACTTCGTAGTATTTGTGATAAATTTCCCGTTATGAAAATGAAGATATCTCCTATAAATTTGTAAAATAATTCTCGTGACCAACATAAGTAAAGTTAAAAGCTGAAAAAACAAATGTACATACTTAGCAGATTATCGTAAATTTGAAGTTAGATGTGTGAAGCCCACGAGCACGCTAGAGGACATCCAACCAACCTATATATATATATATATAATATAATATAACATAAAATAATCTTTGCTATAAATCTTAAAAAATAGCTTTGTACGAATACATAGACATATATGTGAAAGGCTACTTTAACTCATGGACCACCGATCCGACTGACAATATTATATGTAAGGCTTACAAACACACTCAAGGGAACAAACTATATTAGATTTGCCCTTCGCTTGGAACCAAAATCTCAAGCCTTAATAAATATCGATTGTCTAAACACACAATACAACAATAGTTTCAATCGAGCGCGCCGCACACTAAAATGCTTTAATATTTTTAAATATTAGTTTAAGATAGTAGCTATACAAATTAAACCCAACTTCCCTTATAACTTCCTTACCATTATCCTAAGTATTTTACATTATGAACATCGGATGGAAAAACTTTATGACAGATGAAAAAATTGTTACTATTTTACATAATTATGGTTACAAACGCAATGACAAAATTTCATATACTTTCCTTCAGGGTTTTATTTTAACTTTCAAAGGACTCGAACTTTATTTGAAGAAAATATTTAACGACATCCAAATTTTATAAAATGAAATTAATGTAGCTTTAAGTATTCACAACTTGCAACAGCTTCAATGACAGTTCTTATTAAAATAAATTTTACAATATTTTAGACCAGTCCAAAATGCTTCACATGCTTCTATATATTGTTATAACATCCGTTAATTGACTTTAACAAATCAGTTTTCTTTTTCTTTTATGAAACTTTTCTAAACATAAACTTTCGTATTCCAAACATAAACTTAAGCTAAACCTGAATCTAATGAAAGATCGTAAGACTAAAACGAAATTAAATCTGTTATATCTTTAAAAAAACCTTCTGGAGATTGTGGTATTTAAAAAAGAAAGAAACCCTCCACTTATATTACATTCCCATCTAACACATGTTTTTCGAAAAGTTTTAGCACCGTTAATGAACGTTACGTGGGCTCAAAACCACTGGCAAATATTGTGTAAAATATCTTCATAAACATCTCTTGCAAGGACAGCTGATTTAATAACTTTCTATAATTAAAAATAGGTACAACCGCAGCAACTTGATTGAAAAAGTTCCCTGTTGAGGGACATAGTAAATCAAGTAAACTAAACAGATATAAGAAATAAATGAAAAACATTTTGCTTCTTTTAGTTGAAGATGCACGTATGACAAACATACAAACGTAGGAACTCAATAATAATTTTTTCTGAATATTTCCTAACGCTAAAAGGGAAATTATCTGCAAATAGAAAATAGTTTTCTGAGATGCAAAAGAAAACTTTATTAAAAGATGTCTAACCTTTATATGTTAATTACTATTTTTACAGAAATTCATTTTATTTTCGCATTGAAAAAGTAGTCAACAATTTCAAAATTATTCAATGTTTATCAGTCCAAAAAATTAAAAAAAAAAAGCTCTTATGATTACATACATGCAGCGCCGTTGTTCTTTTCTTTCTAAACAAAGAAACAAAAATTCAAATTTTTTGCGTTATTCTCAGAAAAAATGGCGTAAAGTTCGGCAGCTTTTATCGAAAACTTTTAACCTTTGCAGATTTATATACATTTTACAGACACATACTAAGCACACAGCCATACACAGAATAAAACTGAAGAAGTTTTTGGAAAATTCTATGATTTTCAATTCTCTCCGGAATCACTTAGCATATAACATTTGTAAGAATACAACGATCAAGTTGTTGACAAAGACAATACTTTTTTTTGGAAAAATTGTGCAAGTCTCTATTCAAAAAAAAAAATTTTAAATGATTGCTAATTCTTTTGATTCTTTTGATCGATCAATTTTTGAGTGTCAATTGATAAGTTATACATCGTATCAAAAGAATGGCACCAAATATATAAAGAGCCGTAAAATGTTGGATGATAAATTGCTGCAACAACAATTAAATTCTTGCGCAGGAGAGGTGTAAAACTCAAATTATAATATGTAATTATTTTTTTTATTAATTTTTTACTTTAGATTTTTATTACCGGCATATCTAGAGAAACTAGAGCCGAGCGAATAGCCGAAATTGCTTCCTTATTAGGAGAACTTTATCTATTACGTTTCAAAGTGGATTACTCCGGCAAATCACGTGGTTTTGCCTATTTGCAGTACATTGATCCGAATTTCATGCCTACTGCTTTAATCCAGTAAGAAATTTACTACCTCACATGAAAACGTTTATCTAATTTATACTTACTACAGACTGCCTCTTTTATTTCGCCAATATAAATATACTAAGATACGTGTAAGACAATCGAGCAACAGGTGCAAATTGTTGCTAAAAGGAATATGTTGCATGCCACCCGAAATAGTGTTCGATATGTTGAAACAATCAATTAAGTTCGACAAACTGGTGGGTCGTGAGATATATCCCGGATACTTTGAATATCAAATCTTATTCAGTTGCAATGTAGAGGCCGTGTATGCACGTCGCGATTTATTAAGAAGCATAAGAAAATTTGGACGTAACGCTACTGTTTTGTGGGATAGATATGGTTAAATAGCAGCTACTGTATACATTCATTCCAAATGCATCTTATAATGTCCTCAAAGTCCGCCTGATTATGCATCTTTATTTCATCTTGGTATACAAATATGCTATCCTCTTCCTGCTTTATCATATAACAAAATTGTCACTTCATATTGCAAATATGAGAAAGTATGCATATAATAGTGATATTAGTGTACCAACAAAAATAATAAAAATCTAATAAAATTTCATCATTAAATCTAAGAAGAACAATCTATTAAAAACTTAATTTGTTATATCAGGAAGTAGTACGTACATACGGTAACTATAAAACAAAAACGCAATTAACATATTTTCGTATCCGTGGCAACGCCAAACAAAAGACTCCGTCGAATATAAAAATATATCTCTGGTGAACAGCTGATTATCAGTATAGACAAAATAAATGTGAAAACTTTGTAAAGTGTAAGGGATTTAAATATTATTCCAGAATAGTTAAAACGCATTTTAAGTGTGCGGTGTTAAATTTAAGAAATTTTAACTTCTTTCGAAAGCATTGCTATCGTAAATACCATGTCCACCACTTCAATTGTGCAACAATTTGTGGCTGGGCTAAAATCTCGTAATCACAATGTTCAAAATAAGACAGCCCAGGATTTATTCCTTTATGTTAAAACGGAACTTAGAGAAATGTCGCAGGAAGAGTTAGTACATTTTTTTGATGATTTTAATCATCAAATTTTTAGCATGGTCATGTCGTCGGATATTAATGAAAAAAAGGGCGGTGTGTTAGCTATAAGTAAGCTTATTGTAAGTTCACACGATAGAAAAGACATAAAATACATTTGAATTTTTGTTGTTCCTCTAGAGTGCATGATCAGTGGCGATGTGGTTAACACTATGAAACGCATTACACCATACTATAATCATTTACGGGACTTATTGCCTTGCAATGATGTTTCCGTTATGGAAATTGCTGCCCGCACCCTAGTGAAATTGGCCAATTTGCCCGGTTCAAAAGGTGCTGAATCGTTTGAATTTGATATTAAACGAGCTTTTGAGTGGTTAAGTGGAGACCGTCATGAGGTAAAGAAATTATATACATTTTGCTTAAGTAATGCCAACTTATTTTACAGTACCGTCGGTACGCTGCTGTCTTTATATTACGCGAATTGGCCGTAGCAATGCCTACGTATTTTTACCAGCAAATCTCTACATTTTTTGACCACATATTCAATGCTATTTTTGATCCTAAGCCTGGTATACGTGAGTCTGCTGGAGGTGCCTTGCGTGCAGCCCTAATTGTTACTTCTCAACGTGAAAATACTAAACAATCTAGCGAACCTATATGGTATAAGACATGTTACACTGAGGCTCATAAAAGTTTCTTAGAAGATGCTGTAGCCTTACAGCGCGAAGCAAAAGGGATGACTCGCGAAGATCGAGTGCATGGTAGCTTAATTATTTTTAATGAACTGTTCCGTTGTTCTAATGCTACTTGGGAGCGTCGCTACAACAGTTTAAAAACTTTATTGCCGGAAACTTTGAGTACAAAGTTAGGCGACAGTCTGGCCGTTTCTTATTTGACCGCAGGCAGTTCTGCCGGCGGTAGTTCAGTAGGTAGCCAGTTAACAACTATAGTTCCTCGTTTGAAAGCACCATTTATTAAAAAAATGGGCTCCACACGTTTGGTAGAAATCGCTGAACAACATCAGAATTTATCCTACAAATTAAACACGGTAAACATTACAAAATGGTTTTAATTTCAGTAACAACCTTTATATTTTAGAGTAATGTACTAGAATCATCTTATGCTCGTGAAGTTTTAATGGACCACTATACCACAATATGCGACAATATTTTAGACCAGCGCCTCGCTAAATCACTCTACATACAGCAAACGTTATTGCAAATTTTGCCACGGTTAGCTGCTATTAATCGTGAAATCTTTGTACAGAAATATCTAAAACTATGCGTTCAGCATTTGCTTAACGTCCTGAAAGGAAAAGAAAAAGATCGCAATATTGCCTATATAACCATAGGGTACATAGCTGTGGCAGTAGAACGGGACATCGATAAACATTTACCTACTATAATGACGGCAATTAAGGCTGCTTTGCCACCTAAGGACGTTATCAATAAACGCAAATTTGCAATAGATCCAGCAATATTTGCCTGCATTACTCTGCTTGCTCATGCTGTCAAGTCACATATTACTGATGATGTTCGTGACATATTGGAGCAAATGTTCTCTACGGGGTTATCACCAGCGTTGACAGTATGTTTGCGTGAATTAGCTGAAAATGTGCCTCATCTTAAATCTGCTATTGCGGAAGGGTTAATTGGTGTGCTATCTCAAATTTTAATGAATAAAACATCTGGTGCACTTTATGCAGGAATGTTACCAGTTAATTCCCCTATGGAAAGTTCAATAAATTTGCCGCAAGATGTTCCTACCATAGTGTTGGCTCTGCGAACCTTAGGGACCTTTAATTTTGAAGAACAAAATATGTTGGATTTTATTCAACGGTAAATTGGCATTCCACTGATAGTGGCAACATAATATTTGATACCAGTTTTTCTTCCTCGTTAACAGATCTGCCGATTACTTCATTAATCACGACCAACAAGAGATACGCTTGGAAGCTGTACAAACCTGTACACATTTATTGAAACTGGCAGTACGAACAGCCGATACCATAGAAAATTCGGCTACTTTAATTGAGACTGTATCACACGTCATTGAACGTTTGCTTATCGTCGCCATAACCGACATGGATTGTAATGTAAGGGTTCGCATTCTACGTTCATTAGATGAAACATTTGATGCAGAATTAGCGCAACCCGAATCGTTGAGTGCTTTATTTATTACTCTTAATGATGAAATTTTTGAGATACGAGAATTAGCAATGGTTACCATCGGACGTTTATCGACCATGAATCCTGCTTATGTAATGCCAAAATTGAGAAAAGTTATGGTACAATTGTTAACAGAGTTGGAGCATTCGGGCATGAGCCGAAATAAAGAACAAAGTGCGCGTATGTTGGACCATTTGGTTATAAGTACGCCGCGCTTAATATCGACATACATGAACCCAATTCTGAGTATTTTAGTACCAAAACTTAGAGAACCCGAATCAAACCCTGGTGTGGTACTAAACGTTCTGCGAGCTATCGGTGATTTAGCAGAAGTTAACGGAGGATCAGAAGAAATGGAAATGTGGGCTGACGAGCTGTTAGCTATTCTATTAGAAATGTTAGGAGATGCTGGTTCACCTGATAAACGCGGCGTAGCTTTATGGACGTTAGGTCAATTAATTTCAGCCACCGGTCGCGTAGTTACACCCTATCATAAATATCCCGTTTTGATAGATATTTTGATAAATTTCTTACGTACTGAACAAAGACGATCCATACGTCGAGAAACAATACGCGTTTTAGGTTTATTGGGAGCCATGGATCCTTACAAGCATAAAATGAATAAGGGTCTGATCGATAGTCAAAAAGACAGTGTTTTAATCTCTTTATCTGATTATAAAGTGGATGAAAATCAAGATATATCCACTGCCGAATTACTAGTTAATATGGGAAATATTCTAGATGAATATTACCCGGCTGTGGCAATAGCCGCTCTGATGCGAATTTTGCGCGACCCGACTCTAAGTAGTCGCCACACTAGTGTTGTTCAGGCTGTCACTTATATTTTTCAAAGTTTAGGAATTAAATGTGTTCCATATTTATCACAGGTTCTCCCAAGTCTGTTAGAAAATGTCCGCACAGCGAATAATAATTTAAGAGAGTTTCTATTCCAACAACTGGCGATTTTAGTGGAAATCGTACGCCAACACATAATTACCTATATGAACGACATATTTAAACTTATTAAAGAATTTTGGACCAATAATACTCCCTTGCAATCAACTTTAATAAATTTAATAGAGCAAATTGCTGTTGCGCTGGGTGGAGAATTCCGCAATTATTTGGCTCAATTAATACCACAGATCCTACGTGTTTTGCAGCACGATAGTTCAAAGGATCGAAATGTAACAAAGCGTTTATTGCAGGCTATAGAGAAATTCGGCAATAATTTGGATGATTATTTACATTTAGTAGTACCGCCCATAGTAAGACTATATGATTCTCCTTATGTGCCGCAACAGGTTTCTTTAGTAGCTTTGGAAACTATCGACAGTTTAGCCTGGATTTTGGATTTCACAGATTTTGCTTCACGTATTATTCATCCTTTGGTGAGAGTGTTAGACTCTGAACCTGAACTAAGAGATCAAGCCATGTCTACCTTGTGTTCGTTAGTTATACAATTGGGGAAAAGGTATTTAGTTTTTGCGCCATTGGTTAATCGTACCGTAACTCGGCAGCGTATTGTCGATTCGAAATACGAGAAATTATTGGCTAAACTACAAAGCAATACCACCATGTGTTTGGACGAGGAGTTTTTAATGCGTCAAGCCAAATTTAAGAGCAGCAACATGGTGGCTACTTTAAGTGATGTTAATACTACGATTAAGAAGCTAAACGTGTCCACGAAGCAGCTATGCATGGCGTGGCAAGTGAACAGACGTGTTTCCAAAGACGATTGGGTTGAATGGTTAAAGCGGTTATCAATAGGTTTACTACGAGAATCAAGATCGCATGCTTTACGAGCTTGTCGTGTGTTAGCCGAAGATTACGATAAACTCCTAAGAGATCTTTTCAATGCGGCCTTTATATCCTGTTGGACTGAATTATCGCCAGAACATAAAAATGAATTAACGCAATCATTAATACAGGCATTGCAAGTGACTGATATGCCAGAGATTACGCAAACAATTTTGAATTTGGCCGAATTTATGGAACATTGCGATAAAGATCCAATACTCATAGACCCTAAACTTTTGGGTACACGCGCCATGGCCTGCCGAGCGTATGCCAAAGCGTTGCGTTACAAAGAAGAGGAATTCATGACCCACAAAGATCCTCATGTGTTTGAGTCATTGATTCTGATCAACAATAAGTTGCAGCAAAAAGAAGCTGCGGAGGGTTTACTTACAACTTACAGAAATGCAGTGGGTAGTGAGAACTCGCGTTTTAAAGACGAACTTAAAGTTCAAGGTCGATGGTATGAAAAACTGCACAATTGGGACCAAGCTTTGATATATTATCAACGTAATTTGAGACAGGATTCTACTGATATGGAATCTCACTTAGGTTATTTGCGTTGCCTGGAATCTTTAGGCCAATGGTCGGATCTTAGTAGTGTAGCGAAAGAAGAATGGGATACTTTCTCCCGGGAAACTAAATGCAAAGCAGGTCCGTTGGCAGCTGTTGCAGCCTGGGGTCTACAAGATTGGGAATCAATGCAAGAATATGTTAAGTGCATACCGGAGGATTCGCAAGATGGTAGCTTTTATAGAGCTGTTTTGGCTGTGCATTATGAGGATTTTGAAACAGCTCAACGCTTGATCGATGGAACTCGTGATTTACTTGATACCGAATTGACTTCCATGGCTGGTGAGTCCTATGAAAGGGCTTATGGTGCTATGGTATGCGTGCAGATGCTAGCTGAGCTAGAAGAAGTTATACAATATAAACTGATACCGGATCGTCGGGAACCTTTGAAGAATATGTGGTGGAAACGTTTGCAAGGAGGTCAACGTTTAGTGGAAGATTGGAGACGTATTATTCAAGTTCACTCTCTTGTTGTTAAACCTCATGATGACATTCACACTTGGCTGAAGTATGCTAGCCTCTGTCGTAAATCAGGTTCCTTAATGCAATCGCACAAAACTTTAGTTATGCTTTTGGGTACTGATCCTAGTGTCAATGCTAATGAAAGTTTGCCTTATCACTTACCACAAGTCACTTACGCTTACACAAAACATATGGCAGCCTCGGATAATATGAAAGGTGCTTATGAACAACTAAGCCGCTTCGTAAAAGCCTACAGTTCTCAGTTGAGTTGCATGCCAGACACAATATGCAAACATGAAGATCATCGTTTGTTGGCCCGTTGTTATTTACGGTTGGCAATGTGGCAAAATAAACTTGAAGGCTTGGATCCAGAAGCAGTGCAAGGAGCTTTAAATTGCTTTGAAAAGGCCACTAATTATGATCCCAATTGTTATAAGGCGTGGCATTTATATGCTTACATGAATTTCAAGGTAGTTCAAGCTCAAAAGCAGGCTTTAGAAAGTTACAAAATTCCCATAGAAGTGCACAACCCTGCATTGCTCCTAGAGAAGGAACGCATTATTATTGAACAATACGCAGTGCCAGCAGTACACGGCTTTTTCCGTTCCATAAGCCTTATAAAAGGAAATTCTTTGCAGGACACATTACGTCTATTAACTTTGTGGTTTGATTATGGCCATCATTCCGAAGTTTATGATGCTCTATTGTCGGGAATGAAACTAATTGAAATCAACACTTGGCTTCAAGTTATTCCCCAGCTTATAGCACGCATTGATACACATCGCAACTTAGTCGGGCAATTAATACATCAACTGCTTATCGACATAGGAAAATACCATCCTCAAGCTTTGGTTTATCCTTTGACGGTAGCCTCAAAATCTGCTTCTGTAGCTCGTAAAAATGCAGCTTTCAAAATTTTGGATTCCATGCGTAAACATTCACCAGTCTTAGTGGAGCAGACCATGATGATAAGCGAAGAATTGATTAGAGTAGCTATTCTATGGCATGAGCAGTGGCATGAAGGCCTGGAAGAAGCTTCGCGTCTTTATTTTGGGGACCGCAATATTAAAGGAATGTTTGACATCTTGGAACCCTTGCACGCTATGTTGGAAAGGGGACCTCAAACTCTAAAAGAGACTTCCTTTTCTCAAGCTTATGGCCGTGAACTAACCGAAGCTTATGAATGGACCCAACGTTATAAGTCTTCGAATGCTTTAATGGATTTAGATCATGCTTGGGACATTTATTATCACGTATTTCAAAAAATATCAAGGCAATTGCCACAACTAACCTCACTGGAGTTGCCTTATGTTTCACCGAAATTGTTAGCTTGCAAAGATTTGGAACTAGCTGTGCCAGGATCATATAATCCAGGGCAAGAACTGATTAGAATCAGTTTTATTAAAACGAATTTACAAGTAATAACATCTAAACAAAGACCTCGCAAGCTGTGTATTCGAGGTTCGAACGGCAAGGATTACATGTATTTGCTGAAAGGTCACGAAGACTTGCGTCAAGATGAAAGAGTTATGCAGTTGTTCTCTTTGGTCAACACTTTATTACTAGATGATCCTGACACTTTTAGACGTAATTTAGCCATACAACGCTACGCTGTTATACCTCTTAGCACAAATTCGGGTCTAATTGGATGGGTGCCACACTGCGATACTTTACACACTTTAATACGAGATTACCGCGATAAGAAGAAGGTGCCTTTGAATCAGGAACACCGTACCATGTTAAGTTTTGCCCCTGATTACGATCATTTGACTTTAATGCAAAAAGTAGAAGTTTTCGAATACGCTTTGGCTCAAACTCCAGGCGATGATTTGGCAAAATTGTTATGGCTAAAATCTCCATCCTCTGAAGTGTGGTTTGAAAGACGCACCAATTATACACGTTCCTTAGCAGTTATGTCCATGGTTGGTTATATCTTGGGCTTAGGAGACCGTCATCCCTCAAATCTAATGCTGGATCGGATGAGTGGCAAAATATTACATATAGATTTTGGCGACTGTTTCGAAGTAGCAATGACTCGTGAGAAATTCCCCGAAAAAATACCATTCCGCTTAACACGCATGCTTATTAAAGCCATGGAGGTCACGGGCATAGAGGGTACTTATCGCCGTACATGTGAGAGTGTTATGCTGGTCTTACGACGCAATAAGGACTCTTTGATGGCTGTATTGGAAGCTTTTGTATATGATCCACTGCTTAATTGGCGGTTATTAGATACGGAAGCAAAAAACCATCGTCCTAAAAATCCAAACGATCCCACCAATACCACCAATATGGTGGGAAACAATGGTAATAGCCTAAGTAACTCTGTAGAGGAATCTATGCTCCACAGTAATCATATCGCCAAATCAAAGGCCTACGATAACCAGTTATTTGGCGGCCTTGGTGTTCCGGCAGCCAACGCAGACATTACCAATGGCAAAGCAAGCAAAGTAATCAAACGTGTTAAACGTAAACTAACCGGTACCGATTTCCAAACGCAAACCAGCTACACAGTACAGCAACAGGTGGACTTACTTATACAGCAAGCCACTAACAATGAAAATTTGTGTCAATGTTATATTGGGTGGTGTCCCTTTTGGTAAGCATTAAATTTATAGCAGTAGTAGCGTTAAGGCGCAACAATTTTGAAAAGGATGGAAAGAATTGTACTTTAGCATGTCGTGTAGAGTATAAGATGGGATATTTATGCACATAATGGTAATTTCTGTACGAAACTTAGAGTTTTAAAAGTTTACCTTTCACTTTATGATTTTTTTTAATTTTTTACGACTTTAAATATAATAATTGCCCTTATCAGTATATTTATGCATACATCTATTTTCATCACAAATAATTTTTTAAATAAATTTGATTAAAACTTTACGTTATTTTTTCTAAGAAAGGAACCTCAAGGAAAATTTCTTTTAAACCGCCTTCAAAGAGTATGTACATCTAAGCAGTTTAAGGTTATTTAGCACCGTCCGTCTGTTAAAATTTGAAGCTGCTAAGAAATATCAAATACCAACTTATTTTAATTTTTTAACCCGTAAAAATCTGCTGCTTAGTTACAGAAAAGTATACTACAAGAGTACAGTTAATATGCGAAGTACGCAAACTTTTTCCCCTCTTCACAATTGACGGAAATTTGTGATAATAGCAATCATCTGTAACTGAATCGCCAAACATCTTAGCAAAATATTCTACTCGACGTAAGGACTCGGTAATATTGTCATACTCAAAAGATATAGAAATGCAAAAGGAAAGTTAGACGAACTGAACTATTTCGCAAAGTGGCCCTTTTTTGTACCCCTTCACTGATAATAGAAGAAACAATAACGATAAGAAAGCAAAAAATTCGGGGTAAGATATGAAAGACGAAGAAATTTTAGGAACTTAACTGAGTGAGCAAAGCCAAATAAAAGACACAACGCAGAAACTTAAAGGGACGTATTTGTAGAATTGTGCCATGACTTAACGCATAAATCCGTATGACGTATCTTCTGGCCATCGCCCATAAACCCAATCAAAAAGAAGAACAAATCACTATGAACTGTGTCCGATATTCCCATTAAGTCTGCTATGAAGAAGAAATTCTAACGACTTTATTCCCACAACGGGTATTAAAATTTGTTTTAAAAGGAAAGTCCTTTCCAAATCGATCAAGTTTGTTGACATTATCATCATCAAAACCATGAATCTTAAACCAAGTCTTTCCATAGCATCATGCTAATTTCTAACCAGTGTTTGTGTACATACTTTTTGTGATGAGATTCAGAGATTGTGTGACTTTGTTGATGGTGAACAAAATGTGATTCTAGCTGGAGATGCTAGACATTGCTTGTATGGCAATCAGCTCTCGACCAACAAAGGCGAATTCTTATTAGCACCATCAATGCCAGCAGTTTTATTGTGTTAAATAATGATAATACTACCTTTTATTGCAATCGGAGTGGTCGCACGACGAGCAGTCTCTGGGATCTAACCTTTTCTAGTTCAACTATTCAACACCCTCCCATTTTATTTCACAGTTGCACCAATTTCGTTAAAAAAATAGAAAATTTCATTTCACTTAACCTCCTTATGAACCGTCTGTTTAAAGTCAATCTTCCTTCCGAAGTCTTGAATCGATCTCTACCTCAAAGCAAAATGTCAATCTCTCTTGTATGAAGGTCTTATGTCAAGAAAAGCTTCTTCTTTATTACAACAAAGGCTATGATATATTTGCCAGTGACTGTTTCGTTGAACATAATGTCTAGCTTCTCGGTAGTGAGGCGTCTGTCTAAAATAGCACAAAGGGTCAAAGATGCGGAGGAACTTTCCTTGACTTTGATTGAATTCCTTGCCATTAGACATGCTATTAATAAGGTGGCTATAATTCATGGTATCAAAAAATTTGTTGTTTTTTCTATTATTATTATTATTATTATTATTATTAATTTCGCCAGAGAAATAAATTCTAAGACTAAACTCTTAAAAGCACTAGCATCTAAGGCTATCGGCTTTTTATTAAAAACTCTACCGCACTTGAGATTCGAACCCACGACCATTGACTTGCTAGTCGAGATTCCTCCCCTTCGGCTACTCAGGCGGATGTTGTTTTTTCTAATAGTAAGCCCGCTCTACTTGTAATAAATAAAATAGATGCAGTTAATCAATATGTGTTTGATATACACATCTCAAGTGGATGATTGTGATGCCACTTTGTTTGTATACCTGGTCACTGCGGAATGTTTTTAAATGTAAAAGCTGACTCAAGTTGATGGAACAATTTCGTCCATCAAATACACTCTCAATGAAGCAATAGGAGCAATTCGTAACCACATCTTTCAACAACTAAATGACGAATTTAAAGAGATTGCGCGTGTTAAATCTAATCGGCTTTTCTATAAAATAAATCCCACATTTCACCCTTATAAAATAGTGAATTGAAATTGCACAATTTTCAGACGGTGAAATAAATGGCAAAAAGATTTCTTAATATAAAGTCTTCTAAACACTTCTAAATATAGAGTCTTCTTTTATCACCTGTGATTATTTCTTAGGGTATACCTGAAGCAGGTTAATTGTTATACACATCACCGCAGAACGTTTTCCAATTAGGTCAAACGTCTTTCACTTTTTCTACATTTGTATAGCGTGTAGTATCATCCTTACAACATACAGTGAGATTTTTATTTATTTATTTTTTTTTTTGTTGTAATATATGATGAACACAAAATCTAATTTTTTTACACGCGAAGGATATATCATTCATTTTATCAAATTATCATTTTGCAACGGCCAGAAGGAAACTTCAGAGACCCAAAAAAGTATATATAATCTTGATCAGCATCAAATTCAAAGTCCATGTAAGCATGTCTATCTTTCCACCTGGATAACGTCTGTTGTAAACGTTTTCCTGTCCTGTCTCCTTTTCTTCTCCCTTGGGTGAAGTACACGCCGACAATATTACGTAAAGTGAGAAAACATCTATTTCTCAAAAGGAATAAAAATTGGTTTTTTGATCATTACTCATAAACTGCAGCAGATGCATATACAAAACTTTGAAGGTCTATCTAAGGGATGATGTAGTACCTCTACAAAAATGGAAAAATCAGCTATGTCTGCTTAATTTTGTAGTATATCATAATCCCATTTTTATCAAACCTTTATAACACTCAGAAGCATGCTTCAAAAACCTAATAAAGTGTACAAATTCTTGGATAATTTCAAATTCGGAGTGCACCCAAGCATGTCCGTCCGTCTATTTGCCCAACTGTGTCGTGCCTTATAGAGCATGAAAATTTTATTCTGTTATTTTTTTGTCTGTTTTACGATAACAGTGATGGGTACAAAGGATTCGGTCACAGCCGAATATAATTTTTCTACTTGTTAATAATTGACTGCAGCTTTATTTTAAGCTTACTTCAGGTTTCTCTTTCATATACGTATGTGAGTTTGAACATAAGACTGACGTGTATAAGAAAAGAGTGTTAGAGCAAAGGACAACATGCTCATCTACCATATAATTCGTTATCGCGACAGTTTATCTTTGACGCACACACATGGGCAAACATAAGAGAGTAAAAGGAGGCTTGTATAGGCCTAACACAACGTGGAAAATAGTTACTATGAGTGTCCCACATACTACCACAAATTTAGTATACGCTTATCACAGGTGGTTTGGAGCACAAAAACTTTGGATGGTTTAAGTTCTGAGTCTTAAATAGTTTTGTGAAAGTCGTCTTAGTTTGATTACGTAGAGTTTTTTGTTTGTGTAAACATCATATAACTTGTATTAAATTCGGCAAAGTGCATCTTTTATAATAATATACGATGTGCATTATTCATATTTTTATATCCACTACCCGAATTTTTATGGCACCCAAAATACATCAGCGTCCCACAAATCCTGCGAAGATTTTGGATCAGTTTAACCTTGCTTGCATGCCCATCTTACCTTCTGTAGGCTGAACGCATGCAGTGGTAAAAGTTATGTAACTAGAAAAATCCACATTAAGTTTCAAGTTTAGTGTTGGTCTAAAATTCATTTATTATTATTATTATTATTATAATTTTAGACTAATGAAGTAAATTCTTAGACTAAAAAAAAGACATTGAGCACTAGCAACACAGGCCATCGGCTCTAATATAAATAAATGTACATTAGATAATGTGCTTAGAAGTATTAATAAGGTAATATATAGAATTGATATTCGGTTCTGAAGCTGATTGTAGAAAGTCCAAAGGGTTAATCGTTCCAAATGCAATACTTCTAGCCAAGCAAGTTTTGAGGCAGTCGCAGAGAATGTACTTTATGGTGAGAGTTTGTCTACAACTGCAGATTGGGGAGGAAGACTTCTTCAAGATCCATTGGTGAGTTGCAATTGTATGACCAACGAATTCTCGAAAATGTTTGGATCTTCATTTTCTCAACGTTTCTTGGATATAAAGGTGGAGTTAATTCGGGGTTAATGGAAGAGTAGTGTTGATGATGGTATTGTAAATTTTCTTCTGCAATTTTCTCTTTAACTTTTCTTCTTTGAAGATCCAACTTTTCCATGACATCATCCATAATTAGAGGAGCAAAACCAGCATCCTTTGCCGCTCGATCAGCCTGCTCATTTCCCAATAAACCGATGTGACTTGGTACCCATAACATTTTAATTTTTCCGTCGGATGTTGTAATTATATTCCTTAATTTGTTGATGGTGCTCCATCTCGAAGTCGAAGGATTCCGAATAGCTTGTAATACAGGCAAACTGTCGGTAACAATGACGGTTTTGAGTTTGTTTTTATGGACAAGGTTTGCAGCGTGAAGGATAGCTCTGGGTTTGGTTGTGAAAGTTGCAGTATTTTCGTGAAATATGCGGTTGAGAAGAACTCGTCCTGTAGGATCAACCACGGCACAAACATGAGGCAGACCAGAAGATTTTGAGCCGTCTGTGTATAAAAGATTCCAACCAGTACTTTCTAATATTTGGGTTTTTTCAGCTATTAGATTCCTGAAGACGTAATTTGGTGTATTTTCTTTCTTGTGCACAGACAGCGAAATGTCAAAAGAGCAGTATTTCAAAATCCATGGAGGTTTAACACCAAAAGAGCGGAAAATTTTTAAGG